TTACACAAACTACACATTGCTGGTGTTCATTCAACACCTTAAATCCATACAATAGCTATATTTACTAGCAGTTTGAACATAGTGTAGTCACAACAGATGTGTCCATGTACTGTACATAGAGTGGCTGATTTTATCTATTCCATACTTTAACATCTTAGGGGAAATGGGCTTCGGCTGAATCCTGAAACACAAGGTATTTTAAGACCTCATTGAAGTTTTTCTGCCCAACTAAATTGAAATTGACTCAACATGTGCTGACATCAGCTATGCAGATGACAGCTTGTTGATGTTGACACATCCTTTAAGGTCGTGAGTTTCTTAAAGTCTTCATATTTGTGAAATCAGTATACTTTGTAACTTAGGAATGCAAACGTATTTTGCCTCCTCCTAGAGTAGATTTAGCATCTATAAATGACTTGCAAGATACGATCAGATACGATTGTCATCTCTCAAGTGGTGGAAACAGCGCAGGGAGGGAGCCAATATTTTGAAGTTCATGGAACAAATTCAAATTATGTTTCTAGCCTCCCACCAATTCTTTTTTTAAAAATGCAAAAATGATGCTGTTGTTTTATTGTGGTAGTTATTTTTTCCCCTGTCTTTCTTTTTTTTTTTTCTGTGTATTTATTAGGCCATTTCTAAGCACGACGGAAGAGTCAAATTTATAGGTTGTGTTTACTACAATCTACAGAGCTCCACTGGGAAGCAAAGAAATCTCCACTGATTATCCTGCGGTGTTTGAAGCTGCATAAAATAGAACTTACCCAGTGTTCACAGTAATTGATGCTCTAATTCTCTGTGCGAGCTGTAGGCCAACCTTACTTTTAAATTGAAGATAATTGTAAGGAAAATGACAGTGAGTAGAGAGCATTTTCCATTAGTTAATGCTGAAGAGTCTTTGCTTCTCTGAAAGCCAGTTTCCCAGTGATTTTAGGATGTCCCTGTAATCATGCTATTTCCTGGTAATTTCTTTACTTTTGCTGCAGGTCTTTACTTATTGCCTGTGTTTTTATTTTATGGAACTAATTTTACTTAAATACGCAAGGGAATAAGATTTTAAATACGTCTGAAAAATTAAGGTACTGATCGCAACGTGTTTAATGAAGGTTTTTTCCTCATTATTGTTCCATTTCTACAATCGTTTTGAATGATAGCATAAATTTATATTAACAATGAGGAGTCCTCTAGTTCCCTGCAGCTATATGGTCTCTGTGCAAGCTATATTACATATCTGAGTCTCAGTCTTATTATCTATAAACAGAGAAACTAAGAATAGATCATATGTAAAGTCCTTTAAAGATTTTAAAATTGTGTTTTCTTCATTTACTTGTACTTAGAAAATAAATTTAGTAATAGCTCTTATGAAACCATGAAAATACATATGATTTTTAAGAGAACAATAAAACTCTCTTCTAAAAGTCAGAATCTTACACCTTCAGGGGGCTATTGCACACAGCCAAAAACATAAAATAAAATTATTTTTAGTTTTCATGAAGCAACTTATATAATATATAGCAGCATTTTAAGAAAATGTCTATTTCATGTCCACAAGGCAGGATATTTTATCACAGAGACAACATATAGTCCACATGTTAATAGGAGGAACAGTAGAAAGAAAAATGTCACTTGGAGAAACAGTTATGGAAATCCTGTCTGAATATATTATTAGACTTTATTTTAAAATTTAAAGCAAAAAGTAAGTTCAATCACCCTTAGCAATTTTAACACCCATTTTTCAGTTTATTAATTCTAGAAAGGTTAAAGGAATACTTAGTATGTGCCAAGAACTATGCGAGATGCTGGGGACACTCCAGGGAGGAAAGTGACAAACTCCTGCCTTTGTGGGACTTACATTTTAGGTTGTGTGAGGGGTGGGGAGATAGAGTCATAGACAGAAATCAGGATGCAAAGTCATAGTTTTTCAGAGGGACAGGGGAAGGGAATGTAGGCAGGAGAAGGGTTTGCATTACTGAGGGGACCATATTTACACAGAGACCTAAAGAAAGTGGGTAAGAGGTTCGTATGGGACAGAGAGAACAAATTCTAAGGTAAATGTGCTTGGGAGCCAAAGTGAGGTAAACAAGAAATGAAATGACAAGAGATAAGCGATGGAGCCAGAAACAGTTGTGTGTGTGTGTGTGTGTGTGTGTGTGTGTGTGTGTGTGTCTGGGTATGGTGTGAGAGAGAGAGTGGAGATTGTTAGGGTGAGCATGAAGAGAGGTGTCATGAAGGACCTTGAAGGCTACTGGGGGGGGGGGAAGAAAAGTCATTCATTGGAAGATGGGGAGCAGAAAGGTGAGACCATCAAATTCATGTTTAACAACATTAATATGGCTATTATACTGAGAAAAGACTGGTTAGGACAAAAATTGGGAAGTAAAGGGGCAATTATAAGCATATTGCAATTAAAAACGTTAGAGGTAGTGACAGCCAGTGGACATGGTGGCAAGTGATTCATTTCCAGTTGTATTTCGAAGGTAGTAGCAAGGGAATGTGCTGATGGATAAGTGGAAGTTGAAATAGAAAGCATGGAGTCAGAAGTCACTGTAGATCTTTGACCTGAGCAACTGGGAGGTTGAAGATGAGCTAACTGAGATAAGGAGGAGCACAGACGGCGGCGGTTTGAAATAGTTTGAAATATCCTTTAGTCCGGCTTTGTGGACGAGAGATGTGTAAGACAAACACATTATGAGGCCAATTGTGGTTTTAATTGTTTTATAGAAGACAATAAATATTGAAAAAAATGAATGTTCATCATTGCTATCTGATTTGGAGTATTTTGTAAAATTTTGTGTCAGTTTTTTAATTTGTTAGACACTGTAATGATATCTGTTGAAATTGTTTGAAGATCCTTTGAAAATTCTTCTCTAGGGCTCTGCGCCTGTGGCT